GAAGCTGATCGGTTGTTTTTTGTCACATGGCCTGTTGAGATGAGATGTTACGATGTTTTCATCTCGTCGCCACGCGCACCTACAATTGAAATGACGAATTTGCGCGCAAAAAACGCGATATGTGAACGGCCCCTAAAGTGGACTCGGGTGCGGTTGTATCGTGGTAGTTTTGCGAGTAGGAGTACATGAGCACAGTATCGGACCGACACCCGAGTAGGCTACTGTTTATCTCATTATTAGTCCATCAGAAAAGCAGTTCTAGGCTTATTCTAGGCTGGATAACTCTTAGCAGGTTTAAAAAGCCTTTTAAAATTAAATATGAACACAGTTTTGGATTAAATAAAAGTACAGTCAAGTCAAATAAAACACGTTTTATCTCCTGTATTGTTTGGTAACACTACAATAAGACACCATTCATTAACATTACTTAATGCGTTATCTAATATCAACACATTGAGGGAACAATATATTATATAATGTTTGTGAATGTTATTTAATACAAACACTTGATTGTTCATGTTTGTTCACTTCATTCATTGTGCATTAAATAATGTTAACATAAAACTTTTGATTTTAAAAATGTTAGAAAAATTAAGTGCTCACAGATTGGGTGTGGCCTTTGCCATTAAAGGAGAACTCCGGCGCAAAATGAACCTTTGGTCTAATTACACATTGTTACCTAGTCAACCGTTATCTGAGATTTGTTTTCATGATTAGCGAATGTAAATAGTTTTATCTCTAAAAACAGTTTAGCCTATAAAGCTAGTATAACGCTAGTATATTGGGCATAGATCAATGACAAATAAAAATCGCTTGTTAATACCACTAACAAGGCTCAAAATAGCCCCACACTAGCACGGTAGCATAATGAGGGTCCCTACCTTCAAACCGAAGCATTGAGAACTTTGTCAGTGTCCAGACAGTTTAATAAGAAGATATTTTATACATACAGTCAACTTCGCGTATACAGGCAGAAGCCATCTTTGAAAAAGAGTCTCTACCAGTCAATCTACGAACGCCGATCTGTTGATGGTATGTCATATTTGTATGTCTCAAAATATCGATTTCTATCCACAAAACTTGCCAGAAGTCATGGTTTAAGGGGTTATTTATAAAAAAAAAAAAAATCTTCCGGAGGTACATGCCCCCGGACTCCCCCGCGCGACTTGGTAACATCCTCCGGCACGTGACAGCACCGCTGCTGGAAAAATTTCTAGGGGAAACACTGAACTACTCATGCGCGACAAGACAAAAGAGAACGCGCTTTCAGTGAATGTCCTCCTGACTCGCGCGCGCGCACACACACACACACACACACACACACACACACACGAGACGCACAGAAAGACGCGCGCCAGTATCGAGTTCTTTCGCGCTTGAACGAACAATAACACACATTTATGCCAAAATGTCAGTTTTGTCGAGTATCCTCACAAGAACAGTCTTAAATGAGTTAAATACAATCTTAAATGGAAGTAAATAGTAGTGAGAGAACGAAATGCTTGAGATCCTGTCAGCAGCGGCAGATCTTAAAGTGACAGGAGCCATTAATTCTGTCAGTAAAGTTAACCGAAAGAACAGAAAATTACTAACTGCCCTCGACCAAAGGACGCTTGTAGCTTTGATAAGGATTAATCTATATTTCATAAAATGAATGTGCGGACTGTTTTATAACCTTATTCAATTTCTGTATGGTACAGGTAAATGACATTTATTATGGGTTTAAGTGAGGATTGTTTTAAGTTCACTTAAATTAAAGGTTTTTATATTTTTTGAAGCCTAATGTTTAAAATTTGGGGGGAAATCATTTTCATCGAGACATCAGTAGATATAATATGAGTGATACTGGCTTTCAATCATAAAAAGACGGCATTAAGATACAGCTGTAATACTTGAAAATAAATGGTGCCATTGAAGATAAGTTCATCTACCCCCCAGCGGTAGTTTAGGAAAAAAAAACTTATGTCTTCCGACCTTTACCATCGTGTATTCTCAAAGATATTCAGTCAACTCAATTCATTAATATGCGCGAGGGAGAGAGAGCAAGACAGTTAGAAGACGGCAAGAGAGCTCGCGCGAGGCCGGGGCTTTCACTCTCTCTGCTCGTTCTCTCAGTTAATCAAGCGCAGCAGTCGGTCATATCACTCATCTACATCACTCACCGGTAGGGCTGTCGCGATAAACGCAATATTGCGGTACCGCGCTACTGACAGGCCAACCGCAGAGGAATGCAAGTAACCGCCAAACCGCGTTTTCTTTTTTCATAAGGCCACCCTTCGTAGTTCGTACCATGTGTATTGAATGTTAAATAAGTTAATAATGATAACGAGACTGTTTATCATGATGATTTGTACAGAGTAGAGCTGTCGCGATAGTCAATATATCGACTTATCACACGATATATGGAAATGAGCGCGATCATTTTTGGTGCCGCGATATATTGCAACTGATAATTTGTTTTATTATTAAAAATAATAATTCGATTCATTTTCACATTAAAATGAATGTCACCAAGACACCAACATTTTAGTTGATCGCGCTGCCTCTGTCATCTTGTCTGCACTCTGTGTCAGAGCCTCGGAGGCGGGGCTCATGCAGAGTGTCCACACACACACACACACACACACAGAGAGAGAGAGAGCGGACACCGTCAGGTGAAGAGAAGGCGTGAACCAACTGCATTTTAAAGTGTTCTGTTTCGTGACATCTACAGCGAGCCAGTTAGGAAGAACGAGTCCAACATGGAATTGATTTCAAAGCCGCAATCTTCAACTCCGGTGTGGGAACATTTTGGCTTTAAGCCGAACGAGAGAGGAGAGCTAATTAACGTGAACGAGCCGGTACGTCGACTGTGTTTTAAAACAGTAGCAACGAAAAGAGGCAACACAACAAAGTTAAAATCGCACCTAAAACATAACCATCCCACCCAGTTTTTCAACCTGGGAACAACAACTGCAGCTGGAGTTGGAGAGGGGCCTTCTTCCAGACAGTTATCTGTTGCAGATGACTTTTCCCGACAGTGCAAATATAAACGTGTCAGCGTGAAATGGCGCACACGGATAGCGTAACTCGCTATATAGCTAAAAGAAATGCAGCCATTATACACAGTCGAAAAACCAGCATTTGTGTGAGACACTTTAAAAGTTTAAATTGACATATTACTTTGTTTTGATCTAGTTCTTGATACCTTGCACTTTTTTGTTAACGAAAGTGTATTTATTTACTTGTTTTATTTATTTGGGATATATTTTTTCACATTTCACAATGTCTAAATATTGAATAGAATAAGAATAAAATGTTCTTTTTTCTTTGTAACAAGTGTACTTGCATTATTATGCTATTATATTGTCATTATGTAATCAGTGGCATAAAATGGTCTGAAAATTACAATAATATCGTTTATCGCAATTAATTTTGGTGCAATATATCGCACAACAAAAAGTAGTTATCGTGACAGCTCTAGTACAGAGGCTTCGTGGATTTGGACTTAAGCCTAAACAGACAGTGAATGAGATCGACTGAGCGCGTGCGATTACCTGCGTCTGTCTTTGAAGTCAAGTCATGTATATTCGTGAAAAGGTTGCCGTTTCCAAGGAAAGCGAAATATTTGTCGTATCATCCTTTTAACGTGTAAGGGTAGGCTATTTACCATGACTGGCGTCAGCGCTGGTCAGCGTTACACAGCGTGAGGAAGCCGTGGGGGGAAAGCAGCGAGTCACGCATTGGTCTCTATTAAGTGAAGCATTGCTGGCCAGCTGAGCCTTGAAAAGTGGAGCTCAAATTAAAAAAAAATTATTAACGCCTTGTTTCATTACATATATCATTTAAGGAATTAGCTTTTTTGAACGTTTTCGTTGAATGAACGGTTTAATGACTCACTCAAAGACAGTCCGTTGGCATAACAATGTAACTGCGCGCTGTGACAGTCTTTCAATGCGCAGAGACGCTGTTTAGTTTCGGTTACATTGGTTACATTGTTTTTGTGTATGCTGACCACGTCATAACACGTATTTATAGCAACAAATAAATATAAATAAATAAATGGCGGTAATACCGCATATCGCGCTATTGAGCCGCTCAAAATTACCGCAAGGGAAATTCCTTCACCGCGACAGCCCTACTCACCGGTCAAATAAGGCTTCGGCGGGACAAAAATACGCCTTAGTAAGGCTGAAAGAAAACAGCGCACAAGTTCCAGTCTTCTTGCGCTTGATGTTGAAACTGACAGGACTTGCGCTTGTAATGTTTGCGCTCGTGCAAAAACAAACATCCCCGCCCCCACACTCTCATCTACACACACGTTAAATACACAGGAATGATTATTGGCCCTATTTTGACATCGGAACGATACCGATGTGTAAAAAATTGACCATATCAGCGGCCGATACATCGTGCACCACTAGCTAGTACGTCCATGGTCAATATTTATTATTGTATCATTCTTTAATAATCATAAAGTAAGATTTATAAAATACTTTGTATTTTCTTCCACAGAATACCAGAAGTCAGTGCTTGGAAAGCTAGTTGAACTTCTAGATGAGATAAAAAGAGTCGGGAGGCACTATGAGCCCCTGAATTCTGCTGTCCATGTTGTTAGGCTAGAAACCTTAGAAGAGTTTGCTCAAGAAGAGGCACGTATGATTGAAGGGTATGATTTATACAGAAATTGGACTAACTATGTCAATTAGACTAGACCCTCAAGTCTCCAAAAAGTCTAAATGATCTATATTGTACAAAAATATGCTTCTCTCGTGCATCTGTTAACATATACAGCTTTATATAATGTGTAATTGAGGGACACACAGTGCTCGAATTTTCGTATAGGCGTATTTTCATGCCTTTGTATTAGAGGTATACTACTGTCCCATAATATTTTGCATGGACTCAACATGTATGGATGAGTCAACATGACCAGTTCCCATTTAAGCTCAATCTGGCAACAATCAGTATATTACCAATACCATGGGTTTAATGTATTGAGTGGCTTTTCATGTGTCATGTACAGGTGTCCCAGCTCTCAAAGGTGGGAGGGAGGAACAATAAAGACTGCGTCCATAAAGTGATGGACAGGTATTAAACAACTGTCACATGCTCTGCATAATTACATTCTATATTCTGTTACAATTTTTACTCATTGCCTGCTCTGTTTGCCCTAGTCTTAGCACATAGAAGAGCAAAAATGCGGAAAGAGATGATTCATTAGGAATAATGCAAGCATAAAGGAATATTTGTAGAATGTAGGCGTGGACCTCACCCTATGATTTTGTGCATGTATTCTCAGGCTTTTCACCAACAGCCTAATGGCATCTTTCAACATGAAGGGGCGGGGTAGCAGTGAGAAAAAAGCCTTCCAGGATACCATTTTTTACTCTGTGGTAAAAGGTAACTGCATTTTTCATTAGGGATGCATCGATCCGATACTGCCATTTTTGCCGGATCGGGTATCGGTCAGACGAGGCCGATCCAAATCCAATAATGTGCGTATACTATTCTGTGTTATTGTTAAGCCCCACAAAAGCACCATAAAGTTATATGGTGTACTTTATGTAACACATCTTATAAGTGTTCTGAAGCCATTATATAGTATATTGTGAGATATAAATTAAAATTTAAGTCATTAAATTCTAGATCACGTAAACCTTTTCCCTCCGCTGCGGCTGTCAGTCATTCTTCATTCAGCATCCAGACTGATCTCATGAAATGGTGTATGTATGACACGCCAATTCGTATTTCCATTTTTGGCGTGTATATCAACGCCTTTGACTTAACGTTATATTACTGTAATATGTATTGATATATGACCTACCCCAACCCCGTCCCTAAACCTACCCGTCACTGGGGTTAATACCATTTATGAGTCTTCTCCTACCATCCTAGGAAAAGAAATATCGCTCCACAGATGTAGATATAGATTTTGCTTCGTTTCGCTCGGACATTTAACGGCGTACACTAGGGCTGGGAATCGCTGCGTACTTCACGATACGATATGCGATACATTGTTCACGATACCTATAATATCTCGATATGGCGATACTGCGATAATCGACATATTATCAGTAATAACTCACAATATATCATGTTTTAAGAAATATAATTTTTTTTTTAATTAGGAAAATTAATCTCCATTTATTTTTTGGGATGAAACACAATAACAAAAACAACTTGTGTCTTATCAGTTGCAACAAAACAGTCACAGACACGATTTTAGTGTAACATTGCTGCAATCAGTAGTAATACAAATGTTTACGCCGGGGTGTGTCGGCTTCAAGCCAGCCATAGTTGCCAAGTCCGCTTAAAATACGCGACTTTGGGCTTTTTTTTTTTGTAAGTCGCGTTAAAAAAGCACGGGTTGCGGGTTGCGTTTTTTTGGGCTTATTAAAAAAATATGGTTGCTTGTTAGGAAAATCTGACAAGCAACTTTGTTTTCTTTACATCTATGGTCACGGTTGCCGTTTTCTCAATCTCCAATACATTGATTGACACTGTCTGCTCACAGCCATAGCCAATCAGTGCAATTGTATAAGTGCTGTGGCGTAATTCGTCAAAACATTCCGCCGAATCCGCCCCCTTATTGGAGAAAAATCCCGTTCAACGTGCAGGCAGCCGCGCGCGACGCTGTAATCCAATGATAGACGTTGGGGAGATGATGGACAGTGCAGGGGAGAAGAGGAATGACCTTCTTTTGTAAGATAAATTTGTAATTTTTACAATGTTTTTGTAATATATTAATTATCACAGGCTTTAATAAAAAATAAAAAAACTAGTCTATACTAACATAAGATACATATGGGTCAAATTTATTTTATTAAGATTTTGTTTATATATAATGTGTGTGTGTGTGTTACATATCCTCGTCTTTTCCTGATTGTCTTTTTGTCCTTTTCCATCTCTCCAAACCTTTTTTAAATCCTTTTTCTCCTAATCCGTTTATCCTTTTCTAATAAAGGAGTGGTTTCAGTTTAATATGTTGCAGGCTCATTTATTGGTAATAAAAAATAAATGATAATGCTGAAACTATATAATCTAATAATAATATTGGGCTTGTTTTGGGCTTGTTTTTGAAGCTACAGTTGCTTATTTGTCTCGAGAGTTGGCAACTGTGAAGCCAGCACCAACCACGGCTTTCTCACAGAGCTCCGGGTGATGCCGCGTGAGGTGTCTGTACATGTGGTCGTGTTTCCCGTTTTGCGGACTTTTTCAAAGCCAGACATCGTAAGTCTCCCGGAAGTTCCGGGAGTCTCCCGCATAATGATAGCGTCTCCCTGATGCCCGCAAATTAGTTCAAATCTCCCAGAATCTAGAGCGCGCATGCGAGACAGAACAGCCTACTGCGCGCATAACATACATAGCACAGCAGAGAGCGAGAGAGCGAGAGACTTTGCGTGTGTGCCTCATGAAAGCTAGTCAAATCCAGTCAACTCGGATAATGAATAGAGCGTTTTATAACGGCTTTTAAGATCGATACTTGGCAAGAGCGCATCGAGAATCGATCGCGGGAGTAAATATCGTAATATATCGCCATATCGATATTTTGGCGCACCCCTAGCGTACACATACACGCGGAATCACTTGGACATTTAATGGCGTAGACATACACGCAAAAGATTTCGGCGTGGACATACACGCGGATAGCTCAAAATGCGTATAGATAACACGCCACTTGACTTGAAAGTGGCGTGTATGTTTACGCAAAGTCATGATGTCATGTTGCAGCATCAAACAACGCGTCGCGTTCGGTTACGACAGTCAACAATGAAACTCATGTTACTATTATAATACTTGATCTGTAGATGAAGGTCTATGGTTTTGCATAAAACAACTTTATATGGCTGGACTTTATTGCTGTACTCTATAGGGCTGAGCGATTTTATCGATTCTGCGATATAAATCGATATTTTTTCTCCCAAGAAAGTATCGATTTTTAGGCCGCGAGTATCGATACATAAGTCCCATTCAAATCCCCCGTGTTAAACCCGTTCGCGTTGCATGAAGAGTGATTTGGTCAGCCAGCCGCTAGTGGCCAGCTGCGCGCGTGCATCGATATTGACGAAAATCCAGCTGTATTCAAACAACAACTTAGCTCTCCTTGTTGGCTAGGCTCCTTGCATGCTGGCTAGTAGCTTTTTTTAAAGCTGGGTCTCCGAAATTGACAGCGCTGTGTTGGACAGATTTGTGCAGCGGTGTTCCGTGAGTGAGAAAGTGCGCGAGGTACGGATGAGTGTGTGTGTGTGTGTGTGTGTGTGTGTGAGAGAGAGAGAGAGAGAGAGAGCGAGAGCGAGGTAGTGCTGCGTGAATGCGCTGCGGCGCTCTGCAATCAAATACGATTTTAAATAGGCTTAGTAAAAAAAAAAAAATGTAAAAAAAATCGTATTCGGTGGTGGAAAACGCCGGCTTTAGGCGCATGGTGAACGCGATGGAGCCCCGCTATCCTATTCCAACCCGCGAACACCTCATCAAGGTTTGCATTCCCAGGCTGTACACTCAGGCAAGAGCACACGTCAAAGCCTCCCTGGCCAGCGCGGAGAGAGTTTCCCTGACGTGCGACGGCTTGACCTCGCGCACAACTGAAGCACGTCACATGTTCAGTGTCAAGCTAAAAAAGCTGTCAAAGAAAAGGCAGTGCAAAGAAACTGTTCACAACAGGCCACTTGCTGCACCTTTTAACTCTCCATTGAAAAGTAAATAAAGTGCAGTATTGCAATTAACAAAGGCTTATAAGCTACAGTTTGCACTGTTGTCTTTCAATAAATAGAACTAATTTTCTCTACACATATTTGATTCATTTTGTCCAGCATTTGCAAGCTGTACTCTCTGCCCAGTCAGAGACATATATTGTGTAAATGATGTTTTCAGTTTTCAGTTCAATTAATTCAATCCAAGTAAATGGAAGACTCACAAGATGTCACCAAAATCACTCTGTCCCCTTTAAATCTTTCAGAAAATGATGTAAGTGTATCGAATTATATCGAATCGTATCGTTGGCTGAATATCGTGATATATATCGTATCGTCAGCCGAATATCGTGTATCGTATCGTATCGTGAGATTAGTGTATCGCTACAGCCCTAGTACTCTAGTGTTGTGCTCTAACAGACGCCCAGTAGAAAGTAACTGAAATGTAAAACTGCTAAAGGGAAAATGCTCAATAAACTATTGCATAGATAGATACTGTATAATACACTACGCATCAATATGTATTTTCTTTGGCTTTGTGCTTTGAACTTTTCAATGTGGACTCGGCGCGCTGTGACTCCGTATTGCTTCAAGCGCATCATTCTGCGCTCGAGATGCGCATAAGCGTTTTGTGCCGTACTGTATTGAGTAGGGGTGTAACGGTACATGTATTCGTATTGAACCGTTTCGGTACGAGGCTTCCGGTTCGGTACGCATACAAACCGAACGATTCCTTGGACCATTTTTCCTGCCGACAAAATCCGCGCTGGCGCGATCACCACAACGTTGCGCAACATCAAATGGGAGACGTAACGAAAGCGGAACGAAACGGCGCTACTCGTTATATTTATCAGTTTTATCAGTTCGGACCAGCAACATCTGTGCAGCGCGAGCCGATCTTGATCAAGCGACACTGTTTGTTACTACACAGCGCTGAGAGATCCAGGGAAGAAAACATTTGAATTCGCCACTGAAGTAATACTAATACAGGGCTCCAGACTGCAACCAAAATTTGAGTGTGTGCGACTGAATTTTACATCCAGTCGCACATGTGCGACCAGTAAATTTGTCCCTTTTTTCTTTTCTTTTTTTTTACACGTTAAACGTGGAAGGGGCTTATCAACGAATCCGGAATGTGTGGCAGGCCAATGAGTGTGAGAAGAATAGGGAATGGCCACTGTAAGTGGCTAATGTGTGGAGGGGGAGGGCCCTAGAGATAATCGAGCGCGCGTTTAAACGGAGACGGAGACAACCTGCTGTGCGTCTGAGCAATGAACAAGCGAACTATTGACTCGTTCTTCCAACCTGGGGCTAGTGTGCCGGTTAAATTCACTTGCTGGCTTCCCAAATAATACATTACAACAGCGATAAATAAAAAAAAATAACTGCGGGGAACACGAAGTTTGCCGACAGTGCAGGCACTTCACAGTTTAAACACAATAGTTTAACACAATCTTAGCCTCAAGCATAGAGTATGCGGTGACATGTTAATAAATCAAAAAGCAACGCCACTGCCGGTTGCTTTTAGAAGACAAGAGGTTGTAATGTTAAATCAGAGGGCAAAGGCATTGTAATTTCTGCATCTATTATCAAAGTATTTATTAGTAATACACTGGAAATTAGTAGAAATATTTGGTTAGTATGTTGATTTATGGTGTGTGCTCCTAAATTTTCTGGTTGTGCCCCTAAAATTTTCAGTTGGGGGCCACTGTGCTCCTAGTGAGAAAAGTTAGTCTGGAGCCCTGTAATAACATCGCTGCGAGATCTAGTGAGAAGCATTCAAATTTCTCCGTTATAAATCGTAGATCTCTATTAGATCAAACAGCGCTGACGTGGAAACCAGGAGAAACATTGTGCCGTGAATGAACTAACGTTAGTTATAGGCTTTAAGTCCACAGATCAACAACATTCACCATATATTCAATATACTAACACTAACTGTAACCATGGAAGTTTGGCTGGAATAGTGAAATGATTTCAAGTGCTTCACACATCTTTTCCCAGCACTTCAAAACTCAAATATTATCTAAATATTATATACATTAATATATATTTAAATGTTATTTTTAATGTGATGACCAAAACATTATTTGTTCATCCTTCAAAGATTATCCCCATTTATAAACCTGAAAGTTTCAAGATGTAGGAAAACTCAAACTTATTAAAAAATATTTTTTCTTTTAATAAATAGGAAATTTCTCTGGCATTTTTCTTTTTGCTGTACCGAAAACGTACCGAACTGTGACGCCACTGTATCGTTTTGAACCGAACCGTGAATTTTGTGAACCGTCACACCCCTAGTATTGAGCCTTTCATATCATAATACTTTTGCGCAATGAAAGATTATTAATAGCCTTTCTTGTTCTGTCCTATCATATGTTGCTGCCTCATTACACAGCTGTGCTATACATTTAAACATGTCTCAATTTTTTTGTAGACTAGGCTATATAAAAAATAATTTTTGTTATCTTGTTTTTCATGAATGTATTTTACAACAATACAAAGAGCAATGTGTAACGTTTTACCAGATTTTGTGTTACACCCATTGTCTCTTATTTGTCCCCACTAAATGTTTTTTTCACTGAATATTCAGATTTTATACAATATTGTGCACTTGTGATTTTTCTAGACTAAATTTTACTGCTGAATTATCCACTAATCTAGTTTATAAAAGCATTTTTGTTATAGATTATGATCATATATTTTTGGGATTTGTTGTTATTCTTCATAATGAAGTTGTCTGTATTAAGTAGATTGTGTTTAACACACAAAAGAGTAGGGTTGGGTTTTATCCGATACCAGTCGGTATTTTTTAAACGGTTCTTGAAACGGTACTTAAGAAAACGAAACCGCACACACTTTGTCAAAAAATAATACCCTTTTATTTACAGGGCCAAACTGGACACACTATTAACTTAAATCTTTAAACAATATAAATACAAGTAACATATGGTAATAATAAATAAACCAATATAAAATAAAAATTCACATTTACGTATTATCAAATAAAACAATATTGTATCAAACAATGTAATAATACTGGAGATTACAAGCAGGGTAATCTAATATCGACATGGCTACAGGTTCCCATGTTTTGTCTACAAGTTATTGCTTAGCTTCAACACTAGTCTGTTCCGGTCTCGACTCGGTCTGGGTCTCGATACCCTCTGGTCTTGGTCTCGGTTTAGGTGGTCTTGACTACAAGTCAATGATCAGTTCAACACAGAGTTATAGAAATTCTACTTGATTTAAAAATAAAAAAAAACTGCGCTTCGGCCGATACTCAGAATTTTTGTATCGGATCGGTTTTGAAAAAGCGGAATCGTTGCATCCCTATTTTTCAGGTTTATATATATATATATAATCTAATTTAGCCAACCAATTGTATTTATTTTGGGAAGGTATGCAAATCCATGTAATTGTCAATTGATTAAATGTAAATGCATTGTGTAGGAGCCTTAATGATGTAAGATGTGGTTTATTAATGCACCATCTAATATATTTTCTTTTGCAGCTGCAGTAATGAAGTGGAGTAAAACTGCCACAGAAGTTGAAATCAGGGCTGCTATGGCTGAGACGCTTAAACATGCTCCCGGGAGAGCTGGAGGTGGAGGTCACAAAGTGTGAACATTTGTTGTGTTTTGTGTTGACTCTTGGTGCTTTTGGAATGTGAAATCTGTGTTGGTTAATGTGTTGGGACTTGAGAATTGACAATTGTCAATAGGCATCGAGTAAACGTTGAAGATCGACCTGTTTTCAATGTTGAAAAGTTGGACAAATTTGATGTCTTTTTTTTATTTTAATTTTCAACCTTCAGTGGACAGTAATTAGACGTTGAAGATTTACGTCTATTCAACGTCTAATAGACGACTTTTTGCTAGCGGGGAACGCTCAGATTCATGCGAGTGTCTGAACCAAACGCTCAGATTCATGCGAGTGTCTGAACCAAACGCTCAGATTCATGCAGGGCTTAAAGTGTTAAGCCGGATCCGGCTTAAAAGAAAAAAATTGGGAACTTGTATGAGGTTTAATATTTTCGAGTCAATTGATTTCACCGACCAATCATATGAGAGGATCGCAGCTCAAAATAACGTTACAAGCCTATCGGAAGCAGAGCAGGGCGGGTCCTGGCAACACAGTGTGATTGAGATCCATACGTCACGTTAGCGTCATCAGTGAAAGCATGGAGCACAAGTTCATAAAGCCCGGGTGTAATTGTAACGTCCCCCCCACTTTCAGATTTGTTTGTTATGATGTTTAACCGCACGCCGTCATTGCCACGGAGGAGCAGGACCGAGCCTGTGTAAAATAGCTCACTGAAAGTTCTAATGAGCAGGGATAGCGGTTGCGATCATACTATAAAAAAAAATAGATTGCGACACAGTCGTGATGAGACCCCAGAAACAACAACAGGTGACTAATGTCATCATGGATGAAAAGAAAGGAAGGAGATGCGAGTTGGTTGATTCAGGAAATTAGCTCAGGTCAGGATAATGGGTAAATTCAGACTGTTAAATATTAAATGTAGAACATTCTGTGTAGCTTACTAAAAAAACATTCTGTGTAGGCCTACCATGAAAACGAGTCCCCTTCAAACTGCAGTATTTTCTGTCAGCAATGTATGACAAGTGTTGTCAACGCATGCGATTCATTTTTGTCCAGTTTTAAAATATTTAACGCAGCATCCGTTCTTTCTGTCATCCTTTAGCTAGGGTTATGATCACGCTCATTCACCCAAATGATTTAAACCATTCCTGCGCGACAAGACAAAAGAGATCGCGCTTTCAGTGAATGTCCTCCTGACACACACACACACACACACACACGGCGCACAGAAAGACGCGCGCCAGTATCGAGTTCTCTTTCGCACTTGAACGAACAATAAAACACACATTTATGCCAGAATGTCCGTTTTGTCGAGTATCCTCACAAGAACAGTCTTAAATGAGTTAAATAATATTAGTGATACTGGCTTTCATTCATAAAAAGATGCCATTTAAGATACAGCTGTAATACTTGAAAATAAATGGTGCCATTGAAGATAAGTCCGTCATGCCCGTTCTGGCGGGTTTCGGCGCGTGCGAGGCGCGAAGCACCATGATTGGTTTGCAGTGCACTTCCGCTAAAATACTCGTTTCCTTACTCAGGGAACTGAGGTTATGTTAGTAACCGAATACGTTATTTACTGATGGTTGAAAAAACACATTCAATCCTATGATAGCATTCTTCTCATCGTCGCAATGCCTTCTGGGTGTCTTTGAGGCGGTGGTTGTGGTCTCAGTCTAGACTCTAGGCATGGCTCACAACTGAAGAGAAATGTCGGGGGCCTGAGCTTGCGCTTGCGTATGTGCAATTGCGTATTGCCATAGATTAACGGATCTAAGATAGTTGATTCATCAAGGAGTCTGTGTACATCGGCATAAAGCTGCCTTAAGGAATGGTCTTTGGTTTCCACTGGATCCTCTTTCTTTATAACCTTCTTTGGAGGCATCGGCTTTTTCCCCTGGAATATGGCTTCCCTTGTTCCTCTTTCTTTAAAAGAATTTCGTCCCACTGGTTCGAGCCGCTTCTCATCTCTATAGGAATAGTACATTGATCAAGGACTCTTTTTAGATCGGCATGCGCCTGTTTTATGGTTTCCTCTGGTTCCTCCATCATTAAAGGAATTTCATCCCTCTGGTTCTTCTTTGGAAGCCAGCTGCGTGGCATCGGCTTTTTCCGATATTGCCTTGTCTGCAATAGAGATGTGATTTTTAAGTCAGCATCACACTATTGATCCATATTAAAATATTTAATGAGCAAGACAAAAGTACGGGAGAAGTAGTGCTGGTTCTGTGTGCCACTTACTATGTTCACTGGAAACTGATTCAATTTCTCTTTCAGCACTAGCCTTTCAGCTTCTAGCCTTTCACGGTCACTGTGAAACAGAGAAAGCAAGAGTGAGATTATCAAGAGGTCACTCAATCCATAAAATTATAATAGCCACTGATGATCATCACAGTAGCTTTATCGCTTTGTGTCATAAAGACATGTATTTTTATATCTTACCACGTATCCAAAGTCTGCTTTTTTCTGAGGCGTGGTTTGATGTAGTTTAAAGTTGGGTCAATTAACGATGGATAATAATCAGGGCGACTGAAACTATTATTTCCTGCCTTCAGCTCTCTTTCAGATACGCAACTTTCCTTCTGAGGTATATCATCGCTAAATAATAATAGGCGTGATTTGATGTCTTCTAAAGTTGGGTCAATTAAAGATGGATAATGATAAGGGCGACTTTCCTTTTGAGGTATATCATGCCAGAGGCATAAAACATTTTAATTGCTTCCAAAAAACACACTTTTCACAAGCTGTTTCTGCACAATATTCGCTGCTTAGCGCTTTTTTTTGAGCACATGGCGCTTTTGAGCGCGTCTCTCAGTGGCAGCGGGGGTCTGTAGAGTTGAAGAAGAAGACGCCACCGGAAGCTTTTGTTGCTGAAAACTCTCACCAGAGACCAAAACTTCATCCATGAACTGCTGCATATCCATAACCCTTTTCATCTGAGCTTTCACTGTTTGATGTTTCTCTTTGTTCTGCAAAAATAAAACCAACAACATATTATATGATGTTTTTTCCCCAACTGCTAACATCCTTTTGTCCAATCTGTAGTCACATTTTCAAAACTCTAAACTCTGTCTGGCCGCCTTGGTCAGTGTGCTCCCTTACCTCTGCTCCATTGGTGATCATTAAAGACTTCTATCAAAAACATTTGAAGAAAAAAATCTTTATTCTTCCAAACTTTTGATAAGTAGTATAGTGTACACATGTAAACTCCTACATACATTTGTATATTTGTGTAATCTGTATTTTTGTAATCCGTGATTTATTTATATTTGAATTGCACTGCATATTTTAGGTTAATGCAATAATTATGATTTTGTAAACCAAGACATTTACTCTATTACATTTTTAAAAAATATTCTCTTTTTCTTCTTTTTGGTATTTTACCTTTGCTTGACTTAACTTGTTGACTAATTCTAGTTTTTACTAAACCCATGAATACGGCACTATGACAAATTGTGATGTTCCTCATTTGTAAGTCATTTTGGATAACAGCATCTGCCAAATGAATAAATAGAAACATAATCAAATCAGTACCTGCTGTTTAATTTGATGGACATTAACCTCGTAGTCACGTCTCGCCTCATTGTCTATATCAGCGTAGTGCTTTTCCATGTGAAACATTTCATTCTCCAAATCCACACTCTCCTGCTGGTGCTGTGAAAGAATCTGCTCCCTGGAATTGAAAAGAAATAACATACAGATGATGCTACATCGGCTCAATCCTTCGCAGTGCATTTTCATGTCCCCATATAGATCTTTTTGTTTAGAATATTATACCATTTTTTGTGTGAAATCCTGTTCATGACATCACTTTTGGTGGGAAAACATCATTGTTATTAATGCTCTTGTGAATTAAGCAGTGTTGGTATTAGTTGGAGTTTCTTGTATTAAATTTCATAAATCCTCATGATAATATCAATATTTCAATAGATAATCAGAAAAATATACAAATTCAACAACAACATTGAAATGAACTTCAAGCTGACACCCTCGAGTTTACTTCTTTTTTAGAGCTGGGTTCAATCCTGTTGTTAACCTTGTGGTTAAAGTTTATTATGATAGTCCACTTTAGACATTCTACTATCTCTAATTAATTGCACTACATTTCAAATAACTCTCTCTCATAGACTATTAGGGTTAGTACAATATGTTAACATGTACTTGCAAAGTTACTCTAACTGCGTCTAACTATGGTTGCAGTCAACTTGCTCTCGAATGGTGAACATTCACAGACTGGTTTTGACCGTTCCAGTATGGCGGACGGCTTACGTATAGTGGCCCACTGAAATGGCCGCTAATGGGGCATTTATGTATATCTGTGAAGCAGACAGTCTACTCTAATGACTGCTAGTTGACATAGTTGCAAAGATACTTACATTTATAGTATATAGAATGTTTAAAGCGGACTATTAAAATAAAAGTGTTACCTAACCTTCTTGTCATTGCAAAAAAAATCAAATGTGGTTTTCAAAAATCCATGGATACAAGTTGGGGTGGTCCCCCTAGTGGCAGTTATCCATAAAATCCAAATTGGCCCCCGCCGAAAAGAGAAAAGGTTATATCTCAGCTTCCTTTAGTCTTAAATTGTTGTATAATGTATTTTTTTCTACTTTGTTTGATACAAGGAATCCAATTCTGATATATTCTTCTTATTTTAAGTCCATTTCCTTGTTAAATCTATTATCATAGTCATATTTAGCGCAAATAAACTGTCAATATCTCGGAAAAAGTCACATTGAAATATTATTCCGGCCTCTAGACCCATATTTTTTACCTCCAATGTATGCTTTTCTTTGTTGATTGGACAGGTCACTATCACTATAGTGTCAAAAATCACATGTTGTGACCAAAAGGACCATTGTTGAGGCTTTAAATGAACACAAATTCAGAACTATGCCACAGTGAAAAGTTATATTAGGCTTTTCACCATGTTAAGGATCAATATTACATTTTGATCAGTCAAATAACACAAAAATACAATACATACTTAAACATCATGTATTTATAAAAAAAAATCACTCTTC